ATTCTCTCCACTCTCACCTTTTCACACCCTTAAGTTTCTGTTTCCTCTTAAGTGTACACAGTCCTTCAAAAATTTGGCATAACGAGGTACTTGTTGATAGCACTAAAAGTGGAAATTTACCTCGCTTACGAAAAGTCTCATACATATCTCTGTTTTGCTCATCTTTTCTGGATTTGCTAAAGCTGAGGAAAAAGTGGTATGGTTTATACTCAGAAAAGGCGAAAACTTACGCTTAGGAACACTATCGTCGTTAGGAACGTTGCTGTCTACAACTACATCTTTCTCCTTTTCTTCCTCGATGATGCAGGGGCTGTCTTTGTTGGAATCTCAACCTCTTTACCACTTCTCAAGACAATCGCACTTGCATTTTCTTTTGGGTTGACACTGTTTGAGAGGGTATTTCCCTGAACTTTGTCCTCCAGCATACTGATTGCGGTTGCCATCTGCCCCATTTGATTCTCTAAACTTTGAACACTAGCTCTTCTCCTGTTGAAATTGCAAAGTGTTAGTAGCAAGAGACTTAACATATCTTATAAGACATACCAGAATTAGCAGTTTGGTCCGATTGTTGTTAGGGGGGTATGGCTGCTTGTACTGCTGGTAATTTGGGCGGTTTTGAGGGTAGGGCTGACTCATTTGTTGATTTCCATAGCCAAGATTAGGGTGATCCCTCCATCTAGGGTTTATGTGCTCGAATAAGGATCATACTTCCTTTGCGGTTGTCCAGGGAAACCACTGCCTGCATTCACTTGCTCAACAGGCTCCTCTTGAAGAGTTGGGCACATGTCAGTTGGATGCTACTACCGAACAAATCCCGCAGCCTTCACTGTTTGCATGTTACCTACAGCCATTTGACGAACAAAGAAGTTAGACTAGAGATTTGTTGTTCTAGGAAGAAATATTTACCTCATTATCACGCCTAGGGGAAGGTCAAGCCTACTGCCAAACTGTTGAGAATTGGCTGCCATATTTGCAATCAAATGCTCGCGGCCTCGGGAGTCTTATCCACCAAAGCCTCCTCCACTTGCAGCATCAATCATGCTCCTATCAGTATATGTAAGGCCCTCATAGAATATTGGATAAGTAATGCTCACTAATCTGATGATGGGGGCAGCTTGCACACAATTTCTTAAAACGCTCCCAGTATTCATGTAAGGAATCTCCCGTTGTGCTGCCTTATACCACAAATTTCTTTTCGAATGTTTGCTGCCCTCGAAGCTGGGAAGTATTTCTCCAAAAATAATCTCTTCATCTCGTTCCATGTGGTTATAGTTCCAGAGGGTAGATAATAGAGCCAATCTTAGCCGATCCTTCAAAGAAAACGGAAGGCTCTTAATTTGATTTGCTCCTTGGTCACCCCCGTGGTTTCATACTCGTGCAAACCACATGAAGTTTAGATGCTTGTGAGGATCTTCACCGCAAGACCATGAAAAGTGGGCAAGAGATGTATTAGTCCAGATTTCAATTCAAAAGTGTAGCAGCATCTAAAACAGGAAAAGTATGCATAAAGGTGCTTGATTCAAATCAGGGGCAGCAAGCTCTTTCAAAGTCCGATTTCCAGCCATGACGTCTTCCTCTTCTAAATCAGAATTGCTTTCCTCAAAATCTCTCCGAACTTCCTTTCTAACTTGCGCAAAGTGGTCTCTATTTCCGGATCGAATATTAAACACCAAGATGAGAGGACCGGTCATAAAACAAAAATCCCATAAAAGAAAAAGGGAAAATAATGAAAACCGACTAAAAAAAAATAAAAATAAAAATAAAAAAAATAAAAATAGACTAGAAACACAAAAACAGCCAAAAACCCTATCAAACAAGTTTTTTGGCCTCGAGAGGGTGGGGCTAGTGAATCCTTAAGGATTACTAGTCTTGTGCAGAATTTCTTTTCTTCGAAACGGGTACTCGCACCGCTCCTAATTCCACCAAAATTCCTGCCGTGAACAGTAATGCCAAAATTTTTTTTTTTCTGGAAAATAAAAAAAATAAAAAACAAAAACAAGATAAAAATCCAACAAACACAAAAACAAAAAAAAATCAACTAGAATCACTCCCGGCAACGGCGCCAAAATCTGGCGTGCTGGCGTAGGCACCCAGATTAAACCTTCCGAACCTAACTACTGAACTGTAATAGGGTAAGAAAGGGCGATCCCACGAAGAGGTTCTACCCGAATTTTCTTTGATGTGAAAAACGCTGGGGGGTTTGTGTAAAAAAGAAAACAATTTCAGTAAAAGCAAAAAACAATTAATTCGAATTCAATCAAAAGGGCGAACTTGGTCTCTGTCAACATCCACCATCGGAATCTTATAACGATCATTGATGCAAAGAATCATTTCACATATTGAATTCACCGTTGAAAATAATTTCCTATCTCTCCTTAAGTAATTAATCAGGAAACAAGTGATCCTAATTAATCTACCCCTAAACAACCCTAGACAAGCGTCAAGATTTAATCTAGTGGCAGCCTTAAGATAGAGAGATGACGAAGCTAAACAACACAAAACCAAGCAGTTGTATTAATTTAGTTGAATGTTCTTGTAAGTACTAATTCCTGACGCAGCAAATTACTACCCCAGTTGCTTCACAAGTTGGAGGGATCAAACAATTACGGATTTGATATCAAATTAGCAGTAGATTTCAACAATAATACACTAGTAGGCCTCCTAAATTAAATGCATCAATCATAAAAATATGCACAGAATAAAATTCATACTCAAACATGAATTAACACTAAAAACAGAAAGACTACAGTTTATTTGATCCGAGGTTTCCGTTCCTTCGACCAAGTTACAAAGTTCTAGCCGCTATGGCCATCACAAAAACTCAAGTGAAAGAAAATTCAGAGAGAGAAGAGAGGAGGCGTGGTCCCCCAAAACCTACTCTGATCTCCCTTTTAAAATCTAATTTAAGAATTCAAATCCCACTCAATTCCCTAAAAGAAATATTCTCCTATCCTAAAATAACATTAATCCTAATTTAATCTAATTGGAAATAAAATAAAATAGGAGTCTAATAAAATAGGAAGGTGGTGTTTCCAGCTGTAATTTCGTGCAGCATGTATGTCTTCAAAACGTGCAATAAAAGACTGACTTGCATAACAAGTCAGAAACGCTCCAGGACGTGGTAATGCAGGTGCGTCAACTTCAAGCTCAATTAAAACCTTGATTCAGTCAGTATCTCTAAAACTCAAAACATGAAAGTTGGATCTCTTCTTAGCGTTCCACAGAACTTGAATTCATCTCAATCGGAGCTCGGATGAGAGAATTATGCCCAGAATACGAAGCAGTGGCGAAACTGTCCGAATTCCCCTAATTAATTCCGTTTGTCAATTAACACCTCCATTTGCTTCCTAAACCAAAATAAAGTAATAATGAGTACAATTAGGAAACAAATACATATAAAAGACTAAACATTAAGGGGGTTAAATATGACATTTTGCATTCCCATCACTTTCCAATGGTCTAAGAATTGTTCAAATCCAAAGTCTACAGCTCAAGTTATTGTTTAATTTTGAGATATGTTCCAAATTCGTTACAAAAGTGCGAAGCTTGTCGTTTCAGAGCTCATAATTTTGGAGCTCGTTTTGAGAGCTCATTATTTTAGAGCTCGTTTTGAGGGCTCGCTGTTTTAGAGCTCGTTTTGAGAGCTCGTCGTTTCAAAGCTCATTTTGAGAGCTCGTCATCTTAGAGCTTGTTTTAAGAGCTCGTCATTTTAGAGCTTGTTTTAAGAGCTCGTCATTTTAGAGCTTGTTTTTAAAGCTCGTTGTTTTAGAGCTCGTTTTGGGAGCTCGTCATTTTGTAACTCGTCATTTTAGAGCTCGCCATTTCATAGCTTGCCATTTTATAGCTTGTCATTTCAGAGCTTGTTGTTTTTGAAGTCCAAACTCTTACTCCAAAAACTGGGGAGCTATTGTTGTGCGGAAAATCCGGAGAGAATAATTCCCTATTGGGAGAGAAGATATTTAGATTGACTCAATTTGGAAGGAAGATATTCAGATTGACTTAGATTCTAACTAAGGTAACCAAAGATCATGTAACTTCCTAATCCTATGTATTTGAATTTTACCTCAACTTATCATATAAATGAGTGCTATATAAACCCATTATAACTTATTTTCTGGGGGTTGGGTAATTGTTATGGGAAAAGATTCATCATTTGTAATTCATATTCAATAAGAGAAACAACAGATGTAAGCTCAAGGTTCAAACTTGTCGAACCACTTTAAAAATTGCCTCTTTCATTGCTCATTTTTGCTCTTTAATTATTCAATTGCTAATTTTCATTAAATCAAATATACATCTGTTCCGATTCCACCAAGATCAATCGGATCACTCTAATTAGTGTATTTTTGCATCAACACACATAAAGAAGTATACTATCACGATCAACTTGGGTGTGCAATTATGTTTTCCCACTTTTCTTCACTTTGTCGTCATTATCATATAAAATACTTTTTCCTTTCTTTATGTTTTCCTTTTTTTTTTTTTTTTAACTATTAAATTGTAATTTGTATATTTATTAGTTTTGACAATGATGTAATTATATATCGCTTTCAAAACATGAAAACATATCAAGAACAATTGTATTATATTGAATAATATTATTAAATGAATTTCAAAATTTTAATATATATTGTTTTGAGAATATTTTGTATTTAATTGTGTTTTATTTTTCCCTTCCATTAGAATTCCTGGCTTCGTCATTGATCTAGTATCATATTTTAATTGTTATTACCAGGGTCATCTATGTAGGTGTATGTGTTATTTTTCTAAAATCTGCGGGTGCAGTATTATTTCCATAGAAATTTAAAGTGGAAAAGTTCCCCACTTTGCACTTTCAACCCATTAGTTGTTTGAACTATGAAATTTATTTGTACTTGCCCCGTACATAGAAAAGGACTCGAACACATTTGTAGATATATTATATTTTAATGACTCAAAGTTCCCTAATAGATGCTTTCCTTCCTATATGAAGAGGTCAGTAGAGCACCTCCACAAGCATCTTCTACCATCCATTGATTTCCTCCAAAATTCCTCTCGCTTTCTCTTTCAAGTCTGTTTCGCAGTTCATGCAAATTTGCTTCTAGTTTTAGCGATGGACATGGAGTCTACAAGCCTTGAGAAAGCAACGGTTTTCGCTCGTGCGCGGCCGCTTTTCAAAGGCTTGCCGGAGAAATTGAAGGCCAAGGTGGTTGAACTTGCGAGAAAGACAATAAAGCTCGGGAAAGATGAGCCAAGAAGAGTTGCTCATTCACTTAAAGTAGGACTTGCACTCAACCTTGTCTCACTGCTTTACTACTTCCGGCCACTCTATGATAATTTTGGCGTCTCCGCGATGTGGGCTGTAATGACTGTGGTCGTGGTTTTTGAATACTCTGTGGGTAAGTTATAGATTACTTTCATCTAATTAATTACAAGTTAAGAAAACAAATAAAACAACCAGACCCGGTTCATCTTTCTTCTATATAATCAGTAAAAAAGCCAATTGAGAATATTGAAGTTAAATGAATCGACTGTGCTTTTTTTGACACATAATTTTCAGGAGCCACTCTTGGAAAAGGTCTGAACAGGGGATTTGCAACATTATTAGGTGGGGCTCTAAGCGTTGGAGCTCATCACCTAGCTTGTCTATCCGGAGAGATAGGCGAGCCTATAATGCTTGGCTTCTTTGTCTTTCTACAAGGTACGTAAATATTAAAAATATACACTTAAAAAATATTTATTTCTGATGAATCAGTTAGATATAAAATCATTTTGATTATGCTTCAGCGGCGGCATCAACATTTATACGGTTCTTCCCCAAGATCAAGGCGAGATACGACTATGCGGTGCTAATATTTATTTTGACATTCTCGCTGATATCAGTATCGGGCTTTCGAGATGATGAAATAATAGAGTTAGCGCGCAGGAGGTTGTTAACCATCCTCATAGGTGGCTCTGTCTGTGTCATCATTTCCATTTTGATTTGCCCCGTATGGGCTGGCCTAGACCTCCATAATCTCATTGCTTCCAACATAGGAAAACTTGGGAACTTCTTGGAAGGTACAACAATTGACTTCAACATAAGAATTATTTACGCCATGCAAACATAATATGTACATAATCATTCTCTTTTATAAGAAAAAGTGATCCGCAATATCGGACTAAGGACTAAACAATGTTTATTTGTCTTTCAATTTTTTTTTTTTTTTTTTTTAATATAATGTTTAACCTTGAACCGCACTTTAAAATATGACGACATCCACACAAAGGAAAATTTAACTCTATATAAGGCTGAGATGTGAGAGCAACATATTCCTATTGTTTTCATGGTAATAATGACCCAAACACTTACACAATAAAGGGTGATTTTCAGGATTTGGAGATGAATACATTAAAACATCGAAGGCAGGAAGTCTGAAGAGGACAAGTCATTTTTGCAACAATATAAAAAGTGTTCTTACTTCAAAAAGTAATGAGGAATCATTGGTGAATAATGCTTTCCTCCCCTCTTTTTCTATGTGAAAATTAAGTTTTTCGAATATTCTTAATAATCCATTATTCTTATTGTTGGCAGGCTAATTTTGCAAAATGGGAACCGGGACATGGTCGGTTTCAGTTTCGCATCCATGGAATCAGTACCTCAAAATTGGAACTCTCGCCCGCCAGTGTGCCTATCGAATTGATGCTCTTAAGGGCTACCTCAACACTGAAATTCAAGTACTATTTTAAATTCTATATCTCACAAAAAAAAGTCCAAATACATTCTTATATAAGCCAATTTAGAAGTGATAAAGGCAATAAATTTAAACAATTTCAATGGGTAAAATATAAGAAAAGAAACAAAGAATATAATTATTCTGAAGTGGATTCATGCATTTCACGTTCCTAACTAATCCTATTATATCTTGTTGAGTTGTAGCAGCCATCATCAGAAATGAGATACAAAATTGAAGAAGTATGCAAAGAAATGAGCTTGGAATGTGGCAAGGCACTTAAGGAATTGGCATTGCAATCAAAGCAACGAGTCACCATCCTCAGCTAATACTAATACCCCATAGAAAACTCGAAGTCTGCTGCCAAAAACCTAAACTCTTTACTCAAATCAAGTGTATGGGAGACACTGACTTTCTAGCAGCGGTGCCAGTGGCCGCTGTGGCTTCACTACTAATTGAAGTGGTTGACTCACTGAAAAATAGCTGAATCTGTTTACGACTTGCATCAATGGCCAATTTTAAAGTATTGAGGCTACTGTGTTACCTGAAAAATCACAGATACACAAAGAGACGATGTAAAATCCCGGCCAAGGTTGATTGCCCCCATGTTTGGATTACTGTTAATGAGCCAACTCCAGCAATTTCAGGAAATGGGAATCCCTCGTAACAACTAGAAATTTGGAGTTGTAGATATATAATTACTAACAAAAATTGTTACGTATTATATCCACTTTTATTTTGAAGTTTGGTGTATAATATGAGTCTAACCTAATGAGAAATTAAATTGACAGGAATATCCTGCCCAAATTTATTCTCCTCCATATTGTATTTCAGTTGTTGCTGTGTAAAATAAATATTTGTCTTTTGAGTCACACCACACTATATCTCTTTTATTCTCATACTGTTGGGCACTAGTATGTAAGCCAACCTTGATTTTACATATATATTACGTTCAATTTTTTTTTTGCTTTACTTTTTGATATGGGGTAAAAGATAGCTAGTCTGCAATTTAATTTGTGCCTTGGGTATGAAATTCTCTTGCTATTTTCATGATATTATGCTGATAGCCTCCAATATATACAAACAAATGTTTAACGGCCTAGCTATTTTGGTGTTGTGCAAGTCAAGACTAAAAGCTTATGCATGATCCAAAAAATTTTGGTTGTCAAGGCTAGATTACTCTTTGCCCTTTCATACCTGATCAGGAAACAAATCAAATTGGAGTCCCATGGGGAACCTAAAATGGAGGTTTTATTTTCTTCAAAGTGCTTCAAAGACATTTAAGCCAAAATCACAACGAATATCAAAATATCCTGCCAATTACAACGACGAAGTTTTGAGCTGAACCAAGTTTTGAGTCCGAAAAAATGCTTTGGTGCGAATCGCTTACGAGTTATACTCCTATACTTAAATCCCAAAATGTCGCAGATCAATTAAATTCTAATCAACACATTAATATAGCATCCCGTTCTCTAGCTTACTTAGGTTAGCTCTCTTAAGTCTTTCCACAAATTGTCACTGTGAGTTGCAAAACCTTTAATATTCATATGCAATTATGCTAATTTATGTATAATCAAGATTTAATTCTTTTATCATAATTATATTTTTGAACTGCTGTCAATCACGAGCTTAATTGTAAACAAACTTTTAACTTCAGAATCGGTTATCAAATTTTATGTTCTCCACTAGTGTTTTATTTAAAAACTTGAAATAAATGTCATTAATTAATTGACAAACATAGAGATATATAAAAAAAATATCTTCTTTATGATATATAACTTATACCGTACATTAGCATCAAAACAGTCAATTCATCAGATGATTAAAACCAGGATTTCATAGCGAACATCATAATTGACCCTTAAACCCCATTAAGTAAAGTGATGTGACTATTACCACATAAGAATGGGTAATGAGTATAGCACATGTTTGAAGACTTCTAAGGATGATCTGTCCAAGTCTATCTATATTTTATTGCTGAGAAAGAAAAGTGAGGTATTTAATAAGTAAGCTGAAGAACAAGGCTTAAATTCTGTCCATTAACTGCTAAGTTCAAAAGTGAACTGCATTCTTATAAAGTATCAATACTAATGATCAGGGGATATGTTATTTGCACGACATATTATTTTCTTTTATCACTATTATTGTACTATTGAGTACATATTTACTTTGAAACCAGTAGCTCTTGATAAGTTTTCATTCTTGAATCTTCCCTTTGTCTTCCGGTGAATGTATAACCCTCATCTTGCTGTTAAGAATGAATAAGAAGCAGTCAGAGACGAAAATCGAAGAAGACTTCTATTTATTTACTTAGTTTTGAAGTAATTTAAAACATGTTTAGTTACAAAAAAGTTTGAAAATATATGAGAAAATAGGAGAATGTTCAAGACGGCTTTAGAGAGAACTTTTAGAAGATCTTTTCTCAAATCCCAGTTGCCTCTTTTCTCAAAAAATCTAAAGACAATTGCCTCTTTTAGAAAGTAGGAGGTTTAATAGGTGTGTTTTCATTATTAAACCTCTCAAGGAAAAAAAAATGTTTCTCTTTTCTTATTAATTACGTGACACTTTTTATGTGACTTAGTAATATCATTTATTTTATTGTATACTCTTACAAGAAGGAATTTATATCATTATATTGAATTGTATCTCCTCTTATGATTTACGAGTAAATCGTTCTCAATTAATTTCTCACCTGATCCAATTAATTCTATACGGAGACTTTTCCTAGGTCACTCGCTTTAAGGCCAAACCAAACCCGACTTGCACTTTTTGTATGGAAGAAATTATATCATCTTTAGAGTCGCCAAATCAGTTTGTACGAGAAGTCTCAACAGGTGATGATTATGTCAGAATATGAACATAGAGCAGCCGAAAATGTTTTGAAGTTAATCGTATTAACACAACGTGTTAGTCACAATCAGTTGTAGAGACAAAGACCAAAACAAAAGATCAGTTGACCCGATGTCCCTAGTTACGTACAAATGTAGAACTTTTCTGTGTTATAAGTGGGTACAGATTTCACACCGACCACAGAAAATGAACATCATCAAGTGGTGAACTGAAAGAAAAAGCATGGCAAAGGCAAACACAGAGGTGGAATTTGAGTTGTTTTCCACTAGACTTTTTGACTGTTCTTAATAAAAAAATAAAATTTAATTTGTGCTAATGAAGGGTTGAGAAATATGCAGAGAATTTTGAATGATTGTTGGTGCTAATATCACTTTAATACATTACTACACTTATCACAGTTGTACCTACATATTTAGCTTTTGACTTCTTGTGCTTATCAGGAAAATTTTATTTATTTTCTGCACTTAGACATTGTTGCCCGCTTTCAATATTTGCTTCTAATTAAATAAACACGTGGGACCAAATTAAAATCAACAGCTTGCGAAAGAATGGTGATAATGGACAACCACGTCAAAAGGAAAATTTTTAAATGTACCTTATATATATATATGATCATTACATAATCCAATTGTAAAAGTACTCACTTCTAAAATGTTTTGATAAATACTTTTTGTATGCTGCAACAGCTCCTTATCTAGAGAGCTCCACAAAACTCTACAGAAATATGAGTTAACTCCTCTAATTCTTCATTCTTTTAGTTGTAAACATGAATATTAACGATGAATGTGAATAATCACAGCATAAAAAAATAAACAAATCAGCTGTTTCCTCTTACATGCATTATGACTATTTTAGAATTAAAAATTTTGTGAATTGTGATAAATTTTGGGAAAAGTTATAAGACCGTATGTGAAATTGAACAAAGATTCATAATACGAAACCAAACATGAAATCTTTAAGCAATATATCAAGATCTAAACCTATAACTAAATTTTTATGAAATCATCAGTTGACATGTTATATATAATCACTTTGACCTTCTCTTAAACATGCATGTATTAGTGGACTTTGATTGTGCGTTTGAATAAATAAGAAAGGTTGAAGTTAAGTTTCAAATTCTCTACTTTTCAACAAAAAAAAAAAAAAAAAAAAAAAAAAAAAGAGAAAAGACAATCCCATGAATGAAGTCAATGAAATTTGGAATCACATACATTTAGTCGACACAGCACATAATTCATTATTGTAGATGCCAAAATCTACGGTTACAGAATGAAAGACGAATCTTGCGAGGTTGAGGTCACGGGCGATCTGCTGCACCTACACACACAAAGGAACCAACGTGAAGTGAACGAAAAACATCGATGTGGTGTTTGCTATACACACTCCGACGCTCAAGTTAACAAGGGTAATAAAGGCTTTTTAGTGATGGTTAAGGGAAAGAAAAGGTTACTGTAGCTTAGTCGGGAACTAAGACCACATAGACAAAGTACAACTCTCAAGAATGAGAATTGACGGGTTGGAAGGTATAATGTTGAATGTCTAAACAGTGCGGTGACCCTTGTTTATATAGTAGTTTTGTAGGATATTCGTATCCCAATAGGATTCTAAATCCATATAGGAGGAGGTCTAGTGAATAGGAAAAACCCTAATTCACTTGCCTCATTAGCAGTAGAGTCCGAATTCATCCAAGATACGAAATCTTGGGCAGATTAGGATAGAACCAAATAGGAAGAATCGTACTTACCTTGTTTTGGATGCCTGACCTTGGGTGGACTGTTGATGAAGCCCATTATCGAAGAAGGCTAGATTTGGGCCACAGGCTTTGGCCCGAGTCATGGAATTTGGCGCTGGCCCAACCGAGATTGGATCGTATCCTTGGGACTTTGCAATAGAAAATGCGCGCCTCGGCCTGATAGGGGCCTAGGTGATTTTGATCCCCACAGTTAGCCCCCCACTCTCTAGGCTAAAAAGTTTTTAGCTTGGAGAGTAGCTGGTTCGGTAAAAGGTTAGTTGGGCTGAGCAACGGTTTGCTAGGGTGAGCGAATGCTCTTTTGACTAAGTAGAGGTGTCGCATCTTGAGGAGATATGTGAAATGCTTCCGCTAGTTGTACTCTCGTGCTCTTGTGTAGTTGACTCCATTCAGTTGATTGAGTTGAGTGTTAGGATGTGAGGCATGGTTCTCATAGCTACGTCCACTCGGCTAACCGAGCCGAGTGATTAGGTGCAAGGCATGATCATTGGTGGCACTCGGTCGACTGGTACGATCGAGCGTTTTTATAGTCTGAACATACTTGCTACCTTTTGCATTGAGACAAGGTCGGCTCGTCTGGTCGAGCTGAGTCTTGTTTGAGTGATTTGGTGGCGCTTTGGCAACGAGACATGTGTATGATAGAGATCAACTTCTACTTTTTTTGAGCGGAAATGCAAAAGGTCGCATCCAATCATCAGATGTCGCGTGGCCATTCTGAAAAAATGGATG